GCAACTACGTGGAGTGGCACGAGCGGGAGACCAGGAGCAGCGTGCTGAAGGAGCGCCTGTCTCTGGTGTACGTCGCCAGAGCATATCTTACAGCGGTTGCCGTTACTGAGAAGAGAAATTTGGTGTGGGACTTAAGGTACCAGCAATTCAAACACATAAGTTTTAGGTTATTATCTTAATCAAACATAAGTGAATATAGAATTTAGTTCCATTGAACATTATTATAATAATTGAAATATTTTCAGGATAATAATTTAAGGATCCTAATCAGCTCCTATACTTCTTTAAAACAGAATTTAAAGCTTTTTTGCATCTACCCTCATATTTTATCATTATATTTCTTAAATTATAATCTTATCCTGTTAAATTCCAGGAGTCTGCTGGCCAGGGACCCTAAAGGTCGTCTGTCCGCTGGTATCTACTTCCCTCTGAAGTTAAAAGACCAGCAGTTCACAATGTTCTTCGACAACAACAACGGCAAGCAGAGGAAGAAATTGAAGTTTGATACATTTTTGGAATTGCAGAAGGTAATGCGTTAAACTATTTGTAATACTAATTTACTGTAGAATAAAAAAAATATTACTTACTTATTAAAAAAAAAAACTAAATGATACTTTGGTTTTGTATTAAGCAGGAAAGAATTTAATAATGTGTAATAATTTAAAAAGAAACAAGATATTCTAATGGGAACTTAGGAATCCCAAAATGTACTTAGAAGCCATAATCGAGATAGCTTTTTAACTGATATTTAGGCTCCAAAAACTATATACAAATATTTAATAATTTTACAACTATGGGCCATCAATTCCTTTTTACCATATTATTGATTTAGTAAATTATTTTTTAACAGATACCGGACGAGGTGGTGGATGAAGTGGAACAGTGCAACGATCAGCTCCGTCTGAGGGATGGCGAGCTGCTCTCCGTCCTGAAGAAGTTGGCCACCATCATGGCTGACCAGGAATACATGGCAGAACTGTTACAAGTCAATGACAGGATCGTCCAACTCTCTGCTGGCAACTAACAAAAAGAATAAAAACGGGGATATTTACTCTATGATCTATTTATAATCTATGTCATTTAATAATCTGTTACTTAAAAAAATACATTAAACTGAGGGGTATTTTGTAGCCTAGAACTTATAACACTAAATAAGTGGTACAAATTGTATGACGGATTCATAGTGAACTTAGTGCCTTCAAGAATTAGTATTTTTGCACATGTTTAGAGTTTTTTCATATATTTCATAGATAAAATGTAGTATTTTGTGAAACGGCTCTTTAGGGGAAATAAAAAAAATTAAAACCTACATGTAATTTTTTATTTAAATTTTTCTAATAGCAAAAATTCGGTCCAACAATATTGCCAGAGAATTAAATTATTTATTTAACACAGTTTCACCTAGTTTTCCTGGTATGGCATTTTTAATCATAACTAGCTGTCGTCCGCGACTCGTACAACATGCATCCATCCAAACTATCCCATTTTTAAATGTGTTAGTAAAATTTTGTTTTGGCGAAAGAATTTTCTCCCATCGTGCCTGGACTTTTGGGAGTTAATTTTGAATACTTTGGTAATCTGTGATCTAAAATTCAATACCAAGCTAGTTTTAGCATATTCACATAAAATTAACGAATTTTAAGCGTTACTTACACTGCTACTTTTCCTACTATATCGACCGCACCTTATCTCATCAGGACGTACTATTTCCGTTGCTAATAATAAATTTAAATGCCCCATGTAATGACCATAGATATTGGCTAAATTATATTGTTTTGCAGATTCATTGCCTCTTTGTATTAAGAAAAATAAACAGAAAAATAATTACATATTCCCAAGTATTATTACGACTAATATTTTTACTCTTTACGGTCAAGAGATATATGTACATTCTTGTGTTTTCTTACTAACATAACTCTTTGTAGTACGGATCGATATTTTTGATTAAATTACCTTTTGCAATGTTTCACATTTTAATGAAAGAACCTTGGTAAGGCTTTAAAAGTTACATTATCCACTGTAATTTGCCTGATTACTGGTTAGAGTTAATATAAAAGGTTCATTTTGTATTGCCTGAAGATAATTACATAATTAATGTATTCCTTTTGTAATTTTAAATATATCTGATACGTAATTCAAGATAAAAGTTTTTTTTTTAAAACCTTAATGGCTTATTAATATAGTGAATATTTTAAGGAAATAAAAATAGTTCCTGTTTAGATATGTCGTTTGAGTGTGCAGTAAATGTCCATATAATAGCCGATTAAGGTAATTAGCTAATTAGTATTTTAGATTTACTTATTAGTGATTAAAAGACAATACATAACAAAGTAGTATTATTAAAATTAATAAGACAATGGTAATATTTAACAGATTAAAAAAAAAACATGCGCACAAAATAACTCGAATATAAAAAAAACATTGACTAGGTTAAAACGACCGTCACGTGTTCGACAAAACACTATTTACAAACACGTTTTATATCACTTACAAACACACGAAACTAATTGTATTAAATAAAATTTGATAATTCGATAGTCACGTGGTGTTAAAACGTGAGTAACAGCCGCGTGTAACGTTAACATACAAAACCAATAGTTTGTTTAACTCCAGCTATTAGTGTAATTGTATTATTGATGACGTTATCTCATTTCGAAGAATCCGTTTTATCAGTCTAGACGTGCCCCTTTTGTTAATGAAATATGCATGGCTGGCAGACTGCTTACGCGTGATCAGCTGTGCGCAAGGGGGCTGCTGTCATGCGCACAGCGCAACCATCATGGCCGCCACGTTGCACTACTGTCAATATTGCTGACTATTGCGCTATTTTAACAGTTATAACTAGTTATGAAAATAACACATGATAGTATTTTTTCATATTTTTTTTAGCTGTTTAGGTGCTCAGTGGGCCATTTCTAATCAGGATATCTTTAATTTCCTATGAAGCCTAAATGTTTGCATAGCAAAATATACTAATATTAAGTAGATTATGTATTCTACAAAAAATATAATAATGAAAAAACAAATAAACAGCAAATAAATAGCTCAAGAAATAAAGTAAACATCTCAAAATTTTATTTCCAAACATATTAATTTACTTTAACGTAATTACAATTTGTCGTTATAACAGTTTTTAACGGTAGCTATGAAATAGGAATCACTAAACGAAGCAACACTAGCGCTGCTATAATAGCGCGGCGGCAACAGTTTCCAACGATCAGTTTGTGTTTGACATCCGCGAAGGGATAAGCGTTTCGTATAGAGCGCGCCCGAAAGGCAGCGATCTATTTTTCTTTTTTTATTTGGCTTCTAGCCGTTGTATGGGTGAGTGGATATTTGATAAATGCGTGTATTAGCTTCACCATATAACTTTATTTGTGTTTTAAAACATTTTTCTCATACTTTTATTACAAAGAATGTGTTCTCGCGTGGTGTATACGCAAGGAGTTAGATCGTACGAAATGCGGATAAAAATTGTTTTGAGTTAGACGTAAACAATGATCAATTTACCGATGCTGTGATTTATTACTGAAATATCCAACACTTCTTTAAATTTACAAAATAAAACATGTGTCTATGGGAATTATAGTTAATTCTTTATTTTTCTCACGCTCTCTTATACTCATTTTACAATCGTGGCAAGTTTTATTTTTATTTTAAAATCTTAAGTTGTTATTTCTAGACTTAACATATTTTAAACGTATAAATACACGTGTCAAGTCAATAACGTTAAAATTCGCTGCACATTAGACCTATACGATATCGGTTGTAAAATAATGTTTATTCTTCGTGGAAATCTGTGCTAAGTCCGGTTCTCATTGTTAGATTAGTAGCAATGCAGTATTCATGTTTAACATAATTTTCCTGCAGCGGCATTGAATAGTCGAAATTGCCCGAATATAACGCGAAAAAAAACTTGGCTACATGCTTCGTTGACCTATTTCATACTAAGATTTAATAGCCTATGCGGCGTTTTAAAACTCTGGCTTATCTCACAAGTGTGTGTGCTTAGAAAAAAATAATAATAATTTTTTTTATTTCCTTTTTGTACAAATTCATTAAAACGATATTCCTTTTTTTTACGTGTTATCTTCTAGTTGGTAAAGGTGTACTAATATACTATATTTTTTTATTTCTAAGTTCCGTTTTGTAAGTCTGGATTTCCCGCCATTTTTAACCTATCGTTATAAAGAAATACTAACTAGTCAATTTACGAACCGTTATCTTTCAACATAGATAAGGTAAATGTATTTATAATTGCTGATTTATTGCACATTATTATCCATCTCAATATTGAAATACTAGCTTATGCCCGACTCCGCCCGCGTGAAATTAAAAAATAATATAAAAGACAGCCCATGTTACTGACTGACAACGTAGCTTTTTAATGGTGAAAGAATTTTTTAAATCGGCTGAGGAGTTTTTGAGTTAATTTATTACAATCAAACAAAGTTTATTTCTTTATAATATGAGTATAGAAGTAAAAGTATAAAGTATAGACGATTTTAATTCTTTACAGTTTACCTTGAACTAAATAAAGTTAAGATTCTGTCTTCCAAAACCCTTTTTAACACGTCAAACCAGAAACGAGGCGCGTTTTTTGTTTGCAATATCGTGCATTGACTCTTGCAAGGGTTAGTCGACCTTTAACGAACCTATATTGTTTCATTGCGATTTACTATCGAAATGCCCACGTACTTCGAGGCACGGTAATGCGTTTGTAGGCGGTTTTAAAGGTCAGGGTCTATATTTATACACTATTTCTACGTAACGTTCAACTACTCGTTAATCATTATCAGCGTTTACACTCGAACATGAATTAATGAATATTTTTACGCCATCATACTAATATACATATGAAAGTTAAAATTGATTGATGGATGTTTGTTAGAGTTTGTAGCCTAAACTGCTGAACGGTTCTCATTGAAATTTGGCATACAGAGGATAGTCTGGAAGAACACAAGCAGAGAACGGAGGCGAGGTCGAAAGCTAGTTTTTTCTATAAAACTGAATTTATTTGTACCCTGAATCCCGAAAACCTAAAATGCTTATAGAAAGGATCGAGGTTATATTAAAGAATGGTGGACAATTGTCGAGAACTGAAACCATGGTGTTAATTGTCTTTACCCTTATCCAAACTGGGTAATGCCGGCCTATGTTACCAAGTTTTTTTTAATACATAACATAAAAACAAGCGAAATACTTAAAGAATTTGTTCCGTGCTTGGATCGATCCTGTACTGCCGCATTGGCAGTGGCGACATCACAACCGAACGCATTCTACTATGCTAAATGCACGGTCACTAGAAAAAATGTCAACTTTCCTATACAGCTAATTTGAATTAGCTGTATTGGAAAGTTGACATTTTTAATGATTGAATTAAACGTTAAAATTTGTTGGCACAGATCTTTGAGAATAGATTCAAAGTTGGTTCGTGGACTTAATGAAAACTTACAATGGTAAAACTTATAACCCACAAATGTTATAGACATCTGCAACTATTACTGATAAAAGTACATAAAAGTACGCCAGGGGGAGAGAATTCTAATGAGATACACACCCATGGCCGAAAATCAATAATTTGTGCGTGGTACAAACACTGAGGGTTCCAAAGATAATATAAAACCAAAGACAGGATTATGTTCTTTATTCTCAGGATATAAGATTCACTTAGAATGTGCTTGTATATTCAAAAATCCAATTGAGAACAATTGCTGTCTTCAATCATTCCCTGAAGCTTTTTAATTCAAAGTTATAAGCTCTTTGACGATTTTAATTACATCTCTGTTACGGGATTAATTTGGCATCCTTTTGAAGAAGTTGTTTTAAATATATAACCTATTCTGATAAATGTTTGGCAATATCAAAACATCTATAATATTATAATAAAGCGTAAACACACACTTCTTTGTTGCCTAAGATGTCAGCCATTACAGCATATTTTTGAAAAAAATTAATAAAAAGTCCAACACTAACGTCACGTTTTAAATAAGGTAAATAAATTGGATAAAAACCCTAATGTGGGAAAGAGACCATAAGCTGCTGCCAACATCAAGGAAACAATTGATAATTTGACAAATATCAGTAATAAAATAAATTTTCATAGTTTCATGCGGATGAAGCCGCACGGGAACAGCTAGTTTATAATATGTTCATTAACATTCAGAATTATTATTGCCGTATAAAATTTTGTATTTACTAATTAATAAGCTATCCTAAACGTTATATAAAAGTAGTTGACATTTAAATGCATAAAACATACATTTTTAAAAAAGTTAACACAACCATAAAATTTCCAGGAAATAAGGTAAAAAAAAACTTTACCTAGCGTTGACTTAAGACGGCGAGCCTCTAGTTTTGAAGTAAGGCTTCAGTCTGTCTAGATATGCGAAGCTACCACAAGACTAAAGAATGCTAGAAGCATGCTCGAGCATACTATGCGACTTACAATAAGGTCGTTGACACAATACCCTACATCTTGGCACGTGGACACCTTAAATGGAACGTGGCCATAACTTATAGTTATAAAAACATGCATTCACATATAAATTAATCGTTGATTCTTTTTGGGAATCCCATACAAATCTGACTTACATTTACGTCAAGATATGCCTTTCCTTCTCAGTAGTTTCGTAACCTCCATGGCACACTTTCATTTGTTTTGTAATTTAGTTACGAGTAACAGTTTCTCGCTTATTTAGATGAGACATATGCTGTACTAGCTATTGCTCGCAACTTCATCTGCGTGAGATTATAAAAAAAAATATACCTTACTCACAGATTAATTACCTTTCTAACAGTAAAATAATTTTCAAAATCCGCTCAGTAGTTTTTGAGTTATTTCGATATATACAAAAATCCAAAAATCCAATTCTTTTCTCTTTATAATAATAGTATATATTGAATGAAGCCATAACAAACATCATATTTTAGATAACTCTTTATTACATAGAAGTTTTTACTGAAGTATTCAGAGAAAGCTAACTATTATAAAAAAGATACCTGTTTAATCTTACAGCTGATCCACCTCAAATTCATTTATAAAACTGTGTCGCTGCAACCAGTTTTAGTGAACTCGGAAACCGGTTTACACTGGTTAGTTACTAGGTGGACTGCGATTCCTTGGAAGAGATTACCTTCCAACAGTAACGCGAAAGACTCTGGCTTTTCTAAGATCAAGAAAGAGCGCAGAAAAATACCCTTGTTTGTAATATCTCAACAATTCAACAACAAATATATTAAACTGTACATAACAGACCTAAAATATACTAAGTCATATGGACAATAGCACATAACCGTTATTTCTAAAACCAGTTACCAGATTTAACTATTACTCAGTACATGTGAGTCATCACTATAACGCTGCTCTGGTCTTCGTTTACGATTACGGGGATGTTAAAATTCTCAATGAATCATCGTTCCCTGAACTGAAATCCGTTGTATGCTACATAGCTGGCCGGTAACCGACCTTTGAAGCTAAAATACATCGATCTCTGTTTAAAAGAATAATTCAACTCAATTGGTTAGTTTAAAAATAATGAATTTTTTTCTCACCCATACCAAATTAACAAATCGTAAACGTGTCTAAAGCACAAAAAAACAACTGTCGAATATGTCAATCTCAACAGGTGATCGGTGCTCTGTCAATATTGTCGAGTGATTGTAATCCAACCTCAATGGCGGATTGTCTTTCCCGCCGAAATATGACCGCCATTTTGTGACATGATTACGAATGTATCTACCAATATGAACCCTAATTCATAGTGACAAGTATTACTATTGCTTAAAATTGACATTTTTATTATCTGAAAGGATACTGTTCACGAGGTCACTTAGCGTTTTGAAAGTGCAAAGTATCATATTTTAAAACGACCTTTAAAAGAAATAAATTAAATCTTTGCATATGGATTTTTAATTGGTCAGAATAAAAACCGGATATAAACCTGATTCGAAGTACGCTTTTGTCATTTTAGTCCATTGAAGTCGGTTGCAATAATTTCTTTTCAAAGTTATTTACCTTAGCTAAAATATTTCTAATATGCTTGGAAAGATACTGTTATTTCGTTATGTTTATTATTTTCAAAAATATATACATTTTTAAAATATCTAACCAAAAAGTTATATAGGTAAAATAAATCGAATAATAGCTCTTCTAACTATAGGGCTAAGAGCGATAATCGCTTGCCGGAAACAATTATCATGAGGTTATTGTACAAGGTACATTGTTCCACATAACGCTCATTCTCGTCATACATCAGTTTGCACAAGCACAAGCACAGCTGTACAAAGCACAGATAAACAAAACTATACATTCAAACCAAAAACAGAAAAATATAGTTTTTATTCCTGCATTGTTACTTTCAAATTGTCAATCACAACAAAGGTGAAGTTGCCCATTTTTACAACGTTCGTCATAATGATTTCCCGCGTAATATTGTTGAGTGACACGTTTGAAATGAATCATGTTTACAGACAAAGGTATTTTAAATCGAATTAGGTAAATTAAATTATTTAACTTCCTCTTAAAGTAAACGTAAATTTAATACAATTGAAGTAATTTAGATTGTGTAAAACTAGTTCTCGTAAACCATCAAGGTTATTAGAGACTTCAAAAACGCTGCAATCTACTTTTTTATGAATTTAGTTTTGGCCATTACTTTTTTAAAAGGTAAATAGGCACATTACTTATTTTTATCTACGTCCAAAATATATCGTAACAACAGGTTTTTGGCTTCGATAAATAATTTCGTGTAATATGAAATGATGATAGTATTCACGTGTTGCCTTGACGATATGCCGTGATAAGAAATGATAGGAGCACATACATGAATATGCAAACATTTGCCAAGTTTCAAGGCCAAATAGTGGATTGTACATTAAAAAAAGCTGAAGACGAAACGTTTCAACAATAACATTACAGAAACTTACTTGTATTGTTTTAAGCCATGAAGAAATAACATAAAACTAGGCCATGACAAATGAATTCACCATGGGCCATAGCTGACGTCATAGGTTTTTAAGTGACGTAACGCTATATTTCATCATAAACGTCTAATGGAAACAGTGGTATACAAAATGTGGATGTAAAAAACCTAGATTAAATATAATACATTATCATAGCGAGTACACATTCATTGTAGACATGCATAATATATATCGTAGAAATGGCAAATG